TGGTGATGGAAGTGGTGACGGAAGTGGTGATGGCAGCGGAAATGGCGATGACGATGACAATAACAATGGAAGTGGAGATGGAGATGGAGGTGGTGGCGCCATGGCCGCCATGGCCGGAACTCTGACCCTTCTCCTGCCTGGATTCCTCGCCCTAAAGCTAATCACTAGTCAGTTCTGATAGCCTAAATAAAACTATATTATCTAAGGACTAAATCAATCGTTTTTTTTTTTCTAATAAATTAAATACAATTTACGACCTATCAAGTGATATTAAATAGCTTTGTGCTTGCCAAAAAAACAATAAAAACATACAAATTTATGAACAAATGTGTTTGCTTTGGATCTTTTGGATACTTTAAAAAAAGTTCTTTCTAAAAAGGCAAAGGAAAAAAAATCACTGAAAATATCCTTTAGTTTCAGAGGTCAAGAAGGAAAATTCGATATGCGATATTCATAAGGCACCTATACTATATTTTAGATACCAACAACCAGATAAGCGCTTGTATAATTCTTTTAAATATACAAATTTTAAAAAAATACAATTAATAGAGAAAAATATTGTGTATTAATTTGAATTGTGTTATATTTTAGCCTACTTTCATATTCTTTCTGTATATTCTTTCCTTTAAAGTCTAATTAAAATCTTCACTGGCACAAAAGCTGCGTTCTATAGATTCAAATTATCGGTTTCTTTAACCATTCGTTTTACAGATAAATAGCCTACTTCTAGGCGGTCTATAAAGTCAACTAGCCCCAAGTTTTACAAACATACCATAATCCCTGATCGGTCGGTTATCGCTGCTTTTGTTGTTAGTTAACTAAAAATAGTTTACGGCGCAGAAAAGAAACTTGATTTCACTAGTCCAATGAATGGAAGTGACCACCTGATATTGGTAATCTTTATGGCACCAGACGGAACGGGACTGAAAAAAAAACTGGTGTCCGTGACTGCAGGGCAATCGATATGATCCAATCCAGTTCGATCCAATCGATCCAATCGATCGATCGATCTTGTTTGTTTAAACGTTTACCCGTGCAGACAAGGTCAAGGAGTCCAACTGCATTGGGCAATCGAGAGTGCCATACAGTAAAGTACTGTCTGTCGTTGAGATTAGGATTCGGAGTAGTTCATCCCAAGGTTTCGTTACAGCACCATTAATCTGAGGGCTTGGGTGATACCGACTAGTGCCGGAATGTGCGCAATCTCTGGGCCCATCGATCCTTATCGGCCACGTTCTGCGATGTAATCTGCTTTCCGTTTTAGTTTGCTCAAGTTTGTTATTCTATACCAAATATAGTTCTCAAGAAGGAGGCGTAATTTCCGCTACACTTCAGGGAAAGAAGAACTTATTCGAAAAGAAAATCTTTTCACTAAACCCCATTTTGAATAGAAACTAAAATATATATTTTTAAAAACTAAAAAAAAATTGTCACTTTTATATGCATACATTAAAATTTTACTTGCAATAGGAAAATATATTTAATATATCTTTATTCTAGTCTTAAATGATCATCGTTTTTTTTCCGTGTGGTTCTCATAAAACTAAATTTAGCTATCAATCAAAAGTATCGACATTCGAAAGCCCCAATAAATAATCAAGCACCAAATAGTTTTCTTAGAACATATTTTTCATAATAAAATTTCAGCTTTATCAGAGACGTTATTTATTCCAGGGATTTGCCAAAGTTAACTCTATGGCTTTAAATGGTAACTCTAAAGACAATAAAATTAACTGATAAAATCCAAATCCATTTTAAGCCTGGATGAACAATATAGACAAAATTTAAAAAAAAGAATGAAAGCAAAAAAAAATTATGAATAAATAAATAAAAAAAATAATATTGACTGCGTTCTTATCGATTCCGATTGGGCTTGTGAGTGTTTGTTTATTATACGATTCGATTCAGTTCGATTCGGCTATATAGCTGTATTGGTGCCTGGGTCGTATGTTGCTATTGCTTTATCGCCCGACATCGGCCGCAATAACAAAAACAACAATAACAAGCGGAATCAAATCTCACGAAACCAAAACAAAAAATTATGGAATTATCTAAGAACGCTTTTGCGAATTTGCGTTCGTTCGATTTAGGAAAGAAGCTCGCGCTATAATTTCTTCATTCATCGCTCGGAGCTCCCGACAGGTGAACCGCATTACGCTCCCCGTGAAAATAAAACTTGGGTCATTGTATTTCGTGACCAGTTATTATTTTTCTTGTTTTTTTTTTTTATTTGTGAATTTTGTGTTCGGACACGAAAAGGTTGTCGAAATGCAGCTCAACGATCATTGGCGAAAGATCGTGAAGACCTTGATCTTTGCAGTTCTATGCACTGAAATGCAAACGAGTAAGTTAAATGTTATTGCATAGGACTAAAATCGGGAGCTTATAGTACAAATATTAAGTAGATTTTTTTGGTTTAAAGTTTTAAGCTTCAAAACCGATTCATTTATTTATATATTTATCTATATATATATAAGCAAAAAAAACGTTTTAAAGTTCCGTTAGGTAATTTTGATGTACATTTTTTGAATACAATAATTATTTATTGAAAAAATGTGGTTCTTTAGAAACAAGTTACAAGTGATCTAATAAATTCAGGCATTAAGAAAACTCAGATATGGTATAATACTTGAGTCGGTCAAGAATTTCAATTGACACTTAAATAGATATAGTATGATTGTGCAAACTTCAAACGAAATTGCAAGTAAGCTATTACAAGTAGGTATTTTGTGGAACCACAAGACACTTTGATTTTTAACGACGAGTGCATTATCTCATTGGTTATAACCTAACTCAAAAGGACGTATGAATCAAAATCAATAAAAAATTAGCTTTAAATTGAATATGTTTGTTGTAAATTAGTGTTATATAATTGTTTGTTAAAACATTTTAAACAATTTTTATTTTTTTCTGAAAGATCAGTTGATAATAAGACTAACTATACATATAGAGTAGTGATGATTTCTATATTTAGGTGATTCCATGCTTATGATTGCTTTTCGCTAATCATAATGTGACCTATAACAAACGAATATTGGCTCCTCTAAAAATAGACTCCTTATTTAAAGATAACTTAGTGCTGGGCAATAATTTCGTTACACACTTCACTTTAAATTAATTCCACGATTTCTAAAATCTCTTATAGTATATTAAAGAATTGAGAAGTAAAGAAAGTGTAGCAGAAGTCCCACTGCAATTGGGTCTTATCCCACGATTATCCAAATTGCTGACCGCTTCAAGTGCGTCACTCCGAATTGATCAATTGGCGATCCATAATCGCGTGATCGGCCCAAACTTCCGGGGCAAATGGGGTGTGGGAAAAGTGGCTTCGATTCGATTGGGCTTAGTTGGTCATAGAATAGTAGCTTAGTTGAGGCCATAGATACCTACGCTTATAAACGGATAGCTATCATATCTGCGATCACGCTGGGAACAACAGTGGTGGCCTGATCGGGTCGAATCCGGGACTTGTGCCCTGGAAAACCGAAAGCTGATATCAGGGAGCGATCGGGGGCGCTGACCAGGCGTTGATTGCTGATAGGTTTTTCTGGGTGATAAGGTGCACGACTGCACTCGGAGACTGTTTCCATGGGGCGAATACGATCGGATTGCGATTTGCGGTTTGCGAGCTTATCAGCCTTCCTGGTTAACCTTCAACTCATCACTTCATCCGCAGCCTATACCCATCGAGATTTGGCGGCGAAACGTGGTATTGGCCTGGCCGAAATGGATGCCATATCAGCGGGCACTGGCGAGGATCGGTTTCGGCAAAAGATGTTGGCTGCTCCGCACCAGGCATCCATACGATTGTTGGCCCAGGAGAGGGATTACTTCGGCAAGGGACACATCTGCTCGGGCGCCTTGGTGGCGCCCTCTGTTGTGCTGACCGTCAGCAGCTGCATCTTCAGGTAAATTAACTGTGGCTTATAATTCCCAACTAGTTATTTGGAAAGATGTTAACAGTGTTTGGTGAAGCATTTTGAAACAGAAATCTTTAAAGTTAAACAACCAAATAAATAAAATGGAACTTAAATGAATTTAGTAAAAAACGTATTTGTTTTACAGCCAGGTGAAGAGAAGCTACTACCATCCATCGGAACTGCGCGTAATGTTGGGAAACCCCCAGAGATTTGCTCCCCATGACCAGGGACTGATCTATGGAGTGACCCACATTCACCAACCGCCCAAGGATTTGGCTCTGGCCATTCTGATGCTGGAAAATGATGTGCCAACGGATCATCCCTATATCCAATCAATAGGCCTACCCACTCCCGGTGCCACTTCTGTCCTGGATGCGGAACACAGTAACCTGCTGCAGATCAGCACCTGGGGCTATGATGGTGATATTCGTGAGCTGCACGATCTGGTCACGTTGAATGCCACCCACACATCCTGTCATCAGCAGCAGAGCAAGTCCCCTCGGATTTGTGTTCAACCGGACGCCTCAAACTCCACTCCCGTCCAGCTTTACATGGATGCCGGTGCCACGCTGACGGAACGGGATCGCTTGCTTGGTTTGAGGAGCATCGATGGAGGGTTCGAGGACGTGGCCAGCCATGTGGAATGGATACTGGCCAAAATTGGCGATGGTGGCAATCAGAACAGCTCTATCTGGGGCATCCTGGGATTCCTATTGTTCACCGGATACGTGATCACCATCAGCAGTAAGAGCTTTTCAGCTTAAGGTGCTTAAAAACAGGATTACGATCTGATCAATGGGGGGAACTAGCCAAGTAAGATATCCAAGGCTTTGTTCAAGAAATGATAAAGCCGAGGAGTGTGATAATCTCGATCCGAACCAGCATGCTTATTATGCTTCTTTAAACCAGAGTGCTAATATAATCTGGTTCTAGTTAGGTTTACAATTTACATACATAAAAAGATATTTGATTTCTAATACTGAGCTTAACAAGAATTAACAATTCATTTTGTAATCATAGCATAAGCATAGTTATGTACAGTAAATAAAAATATACATAGTTTACAATACGGAACAGATATTAACCCAACACAGCTTTTACTAGACTGCATTCTCTTTCCTTTCCACAGAGCAGCAGAATAGGGACATCTATTGATTGCAGTCTTTGGCCAGATTTTACCAAAGGCCACGCCCACTGGTGCTGTTTCTTATAGCCAAATGTTTGTTGTTGCCAACCGCCCACTTGATTGTAGCTGAATAGGAAAAAGTGCTGTTCTTCCGGTTGCGTTATTACCAAAAGATACTGCTCTTGGCCAACTTTGAATGGGGTTAACTGTTGAATGCGCTCCTGGAAGCTCAGCTGTTGAATGGGTTTAAAGTGGATTTCCTCGGGTGTGGATTTTCGTTTAAATATGGCTATATGTCGGCAACCCAGGCAGCTGACCATTAGTTGATTCTCTTGCATCTCTGCCAGATCGTAGGAGCCCTGGATCAACTGGTGCAATTTAAAGTTATGGCTTAAAGGATCCCTCAAGTGGATGGCCAAGACAGGACGATGATTTCGCATACCACTGGTGAGAAGTAGGTCTTCTTCCTGAGATTCTACCCCCATTCGAATCACTTTCATTAGGCGTCCATCTGCTGGCAACACGGATTGCCAATCGGTGAGGCTACAGTTACTCCTCTTTAATCGCAAGACACGAACTTCCTCTTCGGTGCTCAAAAGCAGTAGTACCATATTCTGTAGTTCCATTAATTCCATAGCCTCCACTGGCTGACGCATTCCCAGGGTATGTGAACTATTGCGGCAACTAATGCTGATCCTACTGCGTAGTCTCCTGGCTGGACGATGACAGTGATTCTGCACCTTCACCCTGACATCACCGGAATTCAGTCGCATCAGTTGATTGGACACACTCACATTGGCGAGGAGCACACGGCCTTGGGAGATCTGAAGCTGGGCCTGTAAACTGCGACGTTGACAGGGAGCAGTGTCACCCAAGGGTAAGCTCATCTGCAGCTCCGGTGATCCCTTCAAAGGGGGCTTCACCCAAGTAATAGCCAGTGTTTCAACGTCATGATCCAAGTAAAGCAATCGCCTATGGGAGCTGTCATTACCCATAGTGAGAAGCTCCTGTAGCTCCTCCAATTGATTGCTTTGACTTTCCATTGCTCGCATTTGAGCGGGAAACTGACTTTGACTTCCCGCCAAAACAAGACCTCCGGGAAAGAGGGCTTTGTCCAGGACTAGACTATCAATATTGTAGTCCCTGTTCCGAAAGATGCTGCCCCTATAACTCTCGCTGAGATCGCGGCCATTTAGATTCATTACATGACCGGGTCCTGTGAACTCTACACCGCCGTGGAAAGTCTTCGCACCCGAGATACTTTGCGCCAGTTTGCTATGTCGGAACACCAAGTTCTCCAGCGGAATGCCATTGATGGAACGAAGAAGAGGTTGCCCGTCCAGCTCAAGGTGCTCAAAACTCAGCGATCCAAATACCTCCAAAGCTTCTCCCTTCAGGGGAATGCGATGCTGAAGAAAGTATGCCAAACTCATTTCGTTTACGGTTTCCAAATTGAGATCCTCTTCGACAAGGAGCTGTTTGAATTTCATTGCTGGCCAGGGTTGTCCTTTGCCCTGCTGGTAAATATTCTCAATTGGAGCGCCATTAACTTCTGGATTTGTGAGTCGAAGTTTGCCTATTTGAGGTGCCTGGATAAAGTGAAGATCCGCTGCAATGGCATCACCGCTGGAGATGCGGTACAGTGAGGCATTGAGTCGGCCAATATCGATTCCGTTGACCAGTCCAAAATCTGCATCCTTCTCTAAGTGAAGGGTCTGAGCTTTAACTGACCCCAGCAGCTCTTGGGGAGCTGTGATCACCTGGCTTTCGTTTGAGGTACTACGACGGAGTAGGGCATCTTCGGCCAATTGGGTGAAATTGAGTTGAACAGGAAGGGATTGCTTGCTCTGGACATTCTTCAAGTAGGGTTCCTTCAGGAGCACATGACCTGCAATGCTCTGATTTCCCTCTTTCCTCACAGCATGCTGACGCAGATAATCCAGTTGGGATTGGGTCTGCTCCTCACCATCCCATAGAGCGTCACCGGTGACTATCAAATTCCGCCAGGGAAGTTGCTGCACTCGCTCTACGCGTTGCTTAAGGTCACCCAAACCTGGCTCATTTACCAAGGGACACTTTAAATTGCCATTGATGTTGAGCTGCTTTAGGTAGAGATCACCTTTAAGTTCCAAATCCTTTTGCGTGTCAAGGAATTCTTCTTTTGGTACCCCATTTATTTGCGAAACATCCACATTGGTGGCCATTATCCGGCCAAAAGTGTAGGCACCACTGATTTGCTGGGGTGTCATTCGCAGCAAAGTGTTATCCAGCAGGGAACTTAGATCGATGCCGTTTATGTGAGGAGCATGAAGAGCATCGTTTATTTGAACATCCGCCAGGAAGGTCTTCTTTCCTCGTAACTCCGTATTGACATCGGGTCTCACCAGGCGACTAAGATAATCTTCCCATTGGATTTCATTAATACTTTGCACTTGAAGAGGCTGTTCGAAGCGCACATTACCCTCGATAAGAAGTTGCTTGCGAAGGAGTAGGGGCTGTTCATTTCCCTCCGAAATCTTCGAGATCAGTTCATCAAAGGGCAACCCGTTGAGTCGACGGAAGTTAAGATTCTTCAAATGTGGCATTTCCGTCAATTCCAGACGCTGCAGACTAAGATCGTGACCAAGAAGCTGCTGTAATGGCATTCCATTTAGACGACTCACATTCAAGTGATTGTGCACCTTTAGCTCATCAGTCACCACTAAGCGTGCAAAACTTTTGGTTCCATTAAGGTTCTGGGTGGTGTTAGATTTAAGCACTAGTTCGCTCACTGGCATTCCATTCACTTGATTGGTTTGAAGGGCTTGCACAGTTAGAGGTGCCTTAAACATTTTGTGACCCGTGATATTTGCCTCCTGGCCAAGACGCACTGCATCCCTAGAGATCTCCGCCAGACGGGAGCTGTAATCTCTGCAAACAATATCTCCTTGAACACTGGCATTCATGAAGATGATGTGTAGAGTCCGGTTCGGATAGGTGTGGTTATTTTTGTGTCCTCCGCTGAGCAGATGATCCCTCAATGGATGTCCTTTAATATAGCTGGTGGTCAGTGAAGGTGTAGTGACCTTAGCGTGTCCAAAGGTCAAATTGGCGATGTTCTAGGGAAAATAAATGATACACAACTGAAGTAGTGGTAGATAAAAGCTAACCTGTGACGTCTGATTCAGAAGGTACTGGGAGTGAAGATCACTTCTGGCCAGAGATTGGTTTCCCAGTAGAACAAGTGAGTTTCCCATATCCCTCTGCACATTTCTGACCGTCAGGGAACCCCGGATGGTCACTCTGCCCGTGTAGTACTGCTGAAGACGTTGCTCTTCCGGCTCGTTGAGTTGTCTAGGTTGTGGCTGCCACTTGCTCTGATTGGCCACCTGAATGTCACCCGATACACTCATCTGATTGATGCGAACAGGAGCTGTTATAAAGACTCCTTAGTTCCCTTTCATAAATTAAATTAAGAGAGAGACTTACTTTTTACCCAAGTATCATTGCCACCGCGAATGACGACATCCTGAGCCAAGTCAAGGCCATTTACTCGCTTTGCCTCCAAACGGGGAGCAAAAAAAGCGGACATGTAAATATTAGAGCTGATCACCTGAGCACGTCGCAGGTTGAAAAGCTTATCCACCACCAGTCCGTTGAGCAAAGGGGTCTGGAGGTCGTTCACCCGCACTCTCGATTGCATCACAAGTCGTCCCTTTAGCAAAGTGTCTCGGGTGCGCAGAAAGAGGGAGTCCAAAAACTCATTCCAGGGCACTCCATTGATCTGCCCCACTTGGAGGTTACGCACTACACATTCATTACCATTTGGGTCCTCTGGAGGAATCGGGGAACGACTGGAGTTGTGGAAATCTTGTGGTGTCAGCAGTTCCTTCGTTTTTAGTGTCTTGGTCAGCAGACGACTGTTTTTGATGGTCAACAATGGGGGCTCTGAATTATCCAGGATGTGGCCTTTGGATCAAGAAGTGGACAGATATGTAAATCTCATTTAGTTTGGCTAATTCCCCAACTTACCTGGCATCATTTGTCCTTGGTATATAAGGTTACCCACACGCAATCGTTGCACTTTGAGTTTTTCCACCTCATCATTCTCATTTCCTGTGCCAAAAGCTCGAGGAGTTCTCCTGTTTCGGTTTGCTCCAAATCGCTGACGAAGTTCGTCCAAGCGTTTCTTTAGCTGAGTTGGAGTGCTCAGCTGGTCGTCCTCCAGGTACAGTCGCTCAATGTGTCCCTTCTCCAACAGATGCAGTGGTTTTTCCAGGCGTATGCCAGATCTTTGCTTCAAGGAGTTATATCGGCTTCGCAGGATTTCCATTGAAGATCGACGGCGCAACAGGAGACTACGCAAGGCATTAATGGACTCCTCAAACTCATGGCGATGCAACTGGGTCACACTAAGATCTGTAAAAGACAGGGCTTAGTTTAACTGACTTTACAGGGTTATCTGAATAATTTACCTTCATCTGGAGCGGTGGCGCCCACTTGGTTAGAGGTCTCTTCCACGCCTTCCAGCTGCACAGTTCGAATCAGATCGCTCGAGGATGTTCGATAGGCCAGCAGCAGGAAACTCTCATTGCGCCCGTTTCGATGGGTAAGTAAACCACTTGGTTCCGATTCACCAGCCACTTGAAATCCACTATAGCAATCCAGGCGAGTCGAGCTGAACACGATCACCTCTCCATTGGAACGAGCTCCGATCAGAAGCTGACCCTTTTTGGTGGCGCTCAATCGATGGAAACTCAAATCCCTTCGAGCGTGCTTTCGATAAACCACAAATTGGCCATCCACCATTCGGAAGAAGAGACAGGAAGTGGACGGAGGCGCATTGCAGGCGATGAGACAGTTCCGCCCTCGAAATCTGGCAGCCTGGACACTTTGGGCCTGGACAGTCAAGGCCTGTCGATGTTGCAGGGTTCGAGTGTTCTTATCCACCTCGTAGACAGTCAGCACCAGCTGAAAGCAAGGGAAACAGAAAGACGAACACCTGAATAAGTAATATCAATCTAATCAAATTATACTTCAGAAAATGTACTTTGAGTAATTCAAGTGTTGAAGACCCTTACGTAAAGTACAGAAAATGGGTTATCAGGATTTAGTTGACTATAAATCACTATCGCTTCTCTTGCATTTAACCTTATATTATTTCAATGCTTATAATTTATGAGGAGACTTTATTACCTTTGACTGAGAGCCCCTCAAAGATCGTCCAAATATTATATAGAGCGGCTGATGACCCACCACTTGGAGAACTCGGATGGCGGGTAAGGTTATCTCTTCAAGCGGATTAAAGAACGTGTCCAGCCACTCAAAGGTTCTGTGAAAGGAGCATTGAAATTACTACTAAATATAATTTAATTAAAAATCTTAATATTATTATATTTCAAAAGCGACCCATTTAAAAATTATCTTAATAAAATGTTTTTTTTTTTGATATGCTTCATAATTTCTAAACATAAAATAAATCCCCACCTGCACTTGCTGTGTGACCTGGTATAATTGGAGGCCACCAGTAGGAGCACCTGTTCGGCACTGGGTTTCAGAAGGTGGAGCTGAAGAAATCCTCCTGGCACCGAGAACTCCTGCAGGGGCTCGAAACTCAGTTGCGTGGCGGGATCCTCGGAGAGTAGAAGTTCCTTGGGCAGTTGGTACACCTCCAGGGAATCCTCGAGGACGATGGCTAGGAGCAGGAACTGGCGCCAGGCCACAACCTCTGCTCCCAAAGCTCTGCGATCTGACCTTACCTGACCGGCCAAATTTCCAAGAGGCACCAATCGCCGCTCGCCAGTGGCCACGTGGAATTGGTAAATCTTGGATCCATGGAGCAGCAATAGTAAATCCTCATCCGGTTCGCGGAGTATGAAAAGTGGGTGCTCGTGGCGCACCAACATATCCACAAAGGGCAGACGAATCGCCGGACCAGAAGTACTACCATTTAAACCATTTCTGCAGGAACTAGGTAGAATTTGTGCACTACTTGGATTTTGAGGGACTTGCTCGGCTGATAATTCAGATCGAACAAGGGTTATAAATAACACTAGGAGACTAAAAAACACTTCACAAAAACCTTGCGAACCCATTTCACACAGATTACACAAATTTGAGGACCCACAGATAACTGATTATACGAAACTAAAGTAATATTTTCATTCCATTCATTTGGCTATCCGTTTTTCGTATGCTTCTCGTTCCTTACTGTTAAATTATCTCGTTTGTTCGAGAGCATAAGAGAGAATTACTATAACCGTTTTTTGGAGGTTCATATATGACGTGAATTAAAGAGAGAGAAACTAATATAATATTTACATTCCATTCATTTGGCTATCCGTGTTTCGTATGCTTCTTATTCCTTACTGTTAAATTATCTCGTTTGCTAGAGAGACTTACTGTAACCGCTATTTGGAGGCTCATATATGTTGTGAGTGTAAGAAAGAGAGAGAAAGGTAAAAATTTAAAATACAGTGGTTGATATAATAATACAGCGGAATTTGTTGATTGAAAAATTTAAAGAAAAACTTTAATATTTTAAGTGTCGTTCTTATCACTAGAAAATCAATTTTTTGTTGGAAGTTTATTGTTTATAGAATTTTGATCAGCCTGAACGTATGCTATGAATAGCGTAGAGCTATTTTCCCATATGTCGCATCAGTTTTTCCCCGATATTCTCGGCACTCGTCAATCAGTCTCTCTCCGTTCTGCTTTCTTTCTCTGTCTGCAGTGACACCTTGGACTGGGAATTAAATTTTATTTCGGAGAGGGGGAATGTGGAATCTAAGGCAGAGTATCTAAAAATAAGGCAGACAAACTTGGAGAGCGCCTTCGACGATTCTGCTGAATCAATCAGCTTCGATCATTAGTCGAGGTCATTAAAGACATTAAACCCCCGCGCCACCAAAGAAAATAGGAAGAAAGCATTTAACACGGAAGAGGGAATCGCATAAAAATAAAATATATACATGCATACATATATAGAATGTCGGAATACTTGTATAAATTCCTGGCGGGACGGGACTTACCGAGTCACCCGTAAATCCCCAGCCTTAACCTAAAAAGGTGGCCACATTTGTACTTGCAGTTAAAGAGGATTTAATGTACATGAATATACATAAATATTAATAGGTGTACGAGTGTGAAATTAATTTCATGTCAATGCCCTCGGGGGTCAAGATTCGGGGGCATCTGGTGTAAATATCCGGTGAATTATTTACTTAGCCCAAAACTGATTGATCGCAACATTTCGAACACACATTGGCATGATATACATATAAACAATATTTTTGCCCTACAATAATACAGTTGCGGTCAAAATAAAAGCACCGCATAAATGTTTGCTTAAAAATTACAATTTTTGGGGGAAATTTAATAAGTTTTGTTTACTTTTAAATGGGACCGATTTGGGACTACTATCTGGATTGGGCTTAGGGGTATTTGTTTAGATTGCAAGAGTGCATGGCTATTACCAGCTGTTGTCTTGTGGTCATTAGCAGATGTTCCGCTGGTTGCGTGCTGCCAATTTGGTTCGTTCCCATTTTTTGTTGTCCTTTTTACGTTGACCATTTCGAGCAGTTGCCGTCGAGCTTTTCGTGACTAATTAGCAAATTCGCGACACCCGTTTGGGGGCATTTTTTGCGTTTAGCGCTTAGCGTTTGGGGTCATAGGCTAGACCCCCCCCATGGTCACCTTTTAACCGTTAACAGAAGCAGCTGATTGTCATGCCTGCGGCTCATCAGCGGGCTCATAACGGTGCTTTTGAAGTGGCGGCCTGTGATTTGAGTGCTTCGCCAATGGGCCACTCTCATGCGAGAGAGAAAAAGAGAGTTAAGAGCCCACTTTTCTCTCGAGTCGCCAAACTCCCCAAAAAAAGTGCTCCACTTACTCTCTTTCCATTTCCCTTTTCTCATTCGAGTATGTGTGAGTCACGCAACAAGCGAAAGAGAGAGCACTGAACAGTGGGACACATGCGTGTCACAAAAATTAAATGGATTAAGGATAAAAAGGATATAGAGAATGTTTTGTGATAACCTTAACAAATGTACAAACCATTTAATAAAAATGTGTTTTAAAGAAGGTATATTAAACCCATAACTATAAAATATGTTTATAGAATCCGTGCAAAAAAAAATATTAGTATGGTATATTTTCTCTTTGATTCTCAACATACCTAAAAGACTTAAAAAGTTTTTATTTTATTTAGATTTGTTATGGAATTATATACTTACTTGTTGTAGCGGAATTTTACTTTTCCTATAAAATCAATTCTATTCCCGATATATTAAGATATAGGTTTTAATTTATCTGTTGAATATGGGTTCTAATTTGTTAGAGGACAACATCCACTGTGCGGCGCCCAGAAATTCTTGGAGAGCAGAGCGTGCGCCCTGTTGTCCGCCGGGCGGAGGAGTGGGTGGAGGGGTTTGGCGGCGAGAGACAGAGAGAAAGAGAAAGAGCGAGCGGACCAGAGAGAGCAGTAGCGGCGGCGGGACTGGCGGCAAGATCGCTCATTTTGCAATTTCGGGCCGTGTTCCGCGGACGTGCGCGCATCGTTCACTTTCAGTCGCATCGCAGTCGCCGTCTGAATTTCCCAATTTCAATTGGAAACCGAATTGATTTTGAAATCCACTCATTCGATTTCGAACTGTGCATATACTTTTTTTTTTATTTATATTTTTTTTTGTGAAAATGCCAAATTTGCCATCATGAGCGTTAGAAAATCTTAAAGATCGCGCGTTATCCCTTTGGGAAGTGCTATACGAAGTAAACTCAAAATGAAATTGTGGAAATCGAAGAAGCCCATTGTGGGCTGTGTCCCCGGAAAATCGGCGGCCCTCAAGCAGGACCAACAACAACAACAACAGGAGTCGCACAACAACACCTTCAACGGAGGACATCATCATCCGTCAACGGACACTTCCTTGGCGCCCATGTTATCCGGTAAATTAAGGGGGCTTTTCAAATTTTTCGTACTCTGCCCCTCCACCACATATCCAAGAAAAACCAACAAAAATCTTCGAGGCGCCCAACATGTGCGCTCCCATTTTCCGCTTTTCCGCTTTTTCCCCGCCCGCTCAGGGTTATCGCATTTCCGCCCAAGGTGCTTGCGTACGGCCCTCAAGTGCTCGAATTTAGATATAGATTTGTATACAAATATCCGACGGTGTATTTGTATCTTTATATCCAAGTATCGGCTGGCAGGGAGGCACTGCTAAAAATCTAGATTTTCCTTTGAAAATATTAAGTTGCAAACCATTGACTTTTGGAAATACTTACCTAAATATTCTGTGCATTATATTATAAAGGTATTTTAATTTTAGCAAAATTTTAGGTAAAAAATCTGTCGTTTTAAGATTTTTGAGCTAGAATTCAGTTGAACATAACTTTTATTACTATAAACAAGTATTACAATGATTTTTTAATCTATAGTTAATAGTTCCAAACTCGAATTGATTTATTTATGGCCCATTGTTTGAAAACAATAGGTTTTTATATTTCGTAGTTTTATAAACAATACATTTTATAAAATACGCATGTTTAACAAGTGAATAATAACAAATGTATAACTTAGTTTTGAGTAGACCTTCTTTTCGCTCAGTGTGCGCCAACGGGCCAAGAGAAGGTTTGACATTTTCAATTGAAAGTAATTGCTCGCATTTCGTTTTCGTTTTCCGACCGAACGAAATTTGTCAATTGCAACGCCCCTTCTCCAAAAACCCCCCATGGAGCTAATGGAGCTCGGTGACCCGACCCTTGATTTCCCAGCTATCGGTTCCATGGGGGATCAGTAGGCAGTTTGATGGATTACCCGGCCATCGAATGGCAATCGAATTGAATTGCAAAATCAGTGGAGTTCAACGTATCGGGGGACTTTTGCCATATTGATTTAAACATATATCATGGCTAATTGGAGCTGATCAGATAAGCAGATGATCAGATGCATTTGCCATCAACTGGGACGTAATTGAATGGATTGCGCAATCTTAAATGGAAAATCCACGCTGTTTCTGACTATCCAACAAGTAATAAAATTTACTTTACATCCAAACTTCTGTATCAACTTTGAGCTATCAAAATTGCAGATCCAGATAGGCTCCATAGGAGGTTATACCCCCTTTTGAGGATCTTAGAGGCCGTTCCACGAACGCCGTTCTGCTTTTCTGCTGATCCTCTTTGGATTAATGATCTAAAAATGCCGACAGGACGGTCTCGAGTAAAAACGGCTGGGATTTATGTCAGTTAACAAATAAGAGGGGTAAAATTATGGCACAACTCCAATTGCAACTGCAGTTGAACTTTCCAATGAATGAAAAGAAGAGAACAAGATACATTTACGGAATGGATAAAATGAAGAACCGAAGGAGATACAAAAGTATCTGCATCTGCTCGTGTGCGCGGGCTTAAATTGCATTTGATGAATTTATGGCATGGCAAGCGTAATTAAGCATTTAATTAAATATTTCTGATGCGCCGCATTGTTGTTGCTGCTGTTGCTGCTGTTGCCTCAGCCTGCCCCTTTTCATTGCTTAATTTTCTTGCGCGGAATGCCACAGATTGTATCTGGTAGATAAGGCCAAGTGCCTGGCCAGAATGCAGCTTCTGCTGGTGGATGTTGGTGGATGCTTACTGGGCCAGACAATCGCCCATTGATGCCAAACGCCTAGATGAAGATGCACAGCAGCGGTCAAAATAATAGCACTCGGCTTGGTGAACGTGAATATAACGGAATACTATCATATTTTATTTCACTGCATACTAAACTACGACTTATACAGTGTTATAAATTAAAAAAAAAAAAAAGCCTTATATAAAAGTAATTTCTATTTTTAAAAAACGGGATTCATCTTCTACAACGCCAATTAGGTATCTTGGAGGCAATGTACAAATGTAACCAATTTATTTCCCCAATTAAGTAAGACATAACACAACATTTGATCTGCTATTGTTTTGACCCCCTCTGTAAATAAATATAGCTAGGTACGTAGATAGATGCATCTGCAATTGCTGACTGCCGATCCAAAGGCAAACAGAGGCGTGCACTCATCCACAGACGGGGATCGAAAAGGGGGGGTGGATGACCAGATGTCACTTGTTTACACAGTAATG